CCCCTGGGGCCTGAGGGAGGCCCGATGGAGGGGATGACCTGGTCCCTGCTCAGAAAAATGGAGGCAAAGAAATTGTTAAATATGTTGGCTTTGCTGTCTGGTGCGACGACCAGATTTCCTAGCGTGTCCTGCAGGGGCCCCACGTTACCCAGTACCTTCTTTTTGCCCCCTATGTATTTAAAAAAGGACTACTTGTTGCCCTTGATCTGGGAAGCTAGTCCCAGTCCCATCTCTGCCTTGGCCTTCCTGACCCCCCCTGCATCCCTGAGCAACTGCAGTGTAGTCCTCCCTGGGGATGGCCCCTCCCTGCCATTAGGTGTGCACCTCCCTTTTAGCTAGGAGATGTTCCCGGATGCTTTTGGTGAGCCATGGGGGCTTTTGCACCCTCTTGCCCCCTTTGATCCATGCTGGGATTGCCTCCCTTTGGGCTTGGAGGATCGTCTCCTTAAGGAGTGACCACTCTTCTTGGGCACCCAATTCCCCTCCCCTCCGGGACCTCAGTGCTTCCCCGACTATTCTCCTTAGCTCATTGAAACTATGAAAATCCACGAATGGGTCTACTTTTGTAACACATCACCACCTGGCCCTTAAGACTGAACAGGAAGGGGACAAGGAGGAAGAGGATCCACCCACCTTCATTGGATGCAATTTCTTGGAGAAGTGCTAGTGGGTAAGACAGGGACTCACTACCAGAAAGCACAAGGATGCCTTGTGAGAAGGTGCATGTGGAAGAATGAAAAGCCTGGGGCCATGACTATGGAGAGGCTAGGACTCTGTGATAAACACAAGCCCACAAAGCCTGCATCAGCTGAGTGAGGGGAAGTGCTTTATCAATGGCCAGTCCAAGAAGGGTCCCTGTGTTTTTTTCTAAGCTACAATAAACTATGGCACGATTAAGATGTTCACAACAAAACCCCACGTAGAGTGTCTATTCCTGCGTCTGTTCAATCCAATGGCTAAAAAAACCCAAACACCCACTGACACTAATGCAATCAGGAGCAGACTTGCAAGTGCTGCACACAGCATTGTTTAATTACATTTAGACACATTTGCTTCCCGTAAAACTGGTATAATGAGTTGGCAAGGAGATTTTATCAAAGGAAAAGCCTGCAAAGGCAACGGCAGGTTTTGGAGCTACAGAGGAACAAACATGAGACAAAAGGATTAAATCAGGGTAATGCTGTAATGACCTAGAATTCAAACAGAGGTGGCTGCACTTTCATCAAACATTGAGGACGGTGTTCAGAGCGAATTCAACAATTTTGAGGCCAGATTCATTTTCCAAGTCGAGGCCAGAGGAGTGATAAAATGGGTTTATATAACAGGAGCTGGCTGCAACTTTAACTTTGGAAAGTGGGTCTGCTTCCCATAAGACAAGCCTTGCACACTGGGTTTCATTCTCAAATATACCACAGCCACTAAATATCACTAAAAGTATAGAGGGATTTTACGTAGGTATGGAGGTACTTTCCTGTCACTTAAAGCTGCTTTAAGCATTGGCATTAAAGCACTGATGGGCCTTGTAGAGTGGCCTTTGTGTAAGTGAGGATTGGGACCTATATTTGGCATAAACTACAGTCTGGATTGTCACAAAGACCTCAATGGTGCAGGCTGGCTGCACACAGACTATGCCCTGTCCAGAACCTATTCAGCAAGGCTTGCTGACGGTGTGGGATGGCAGGTTTAAGCCAGGTGGGGAGACTGTAGGATCTGTGATAAGGAACTTGTTTGGTGGCAATGCCAATCTCCATTTCTCATATTAGAGGGTCTCTGCCGTGCAGTCCTGGAACTGCACATGGCCACTGAGGATGCTATCGCATGGCTCGACAAATATGCACGTGCGGACTGACTAACTGACTTTGGTATTAGACCAGGGTAAACAAGATGACACAGTCTTTGATCGCTGGTTGGAGGAACGTAAGAAAACCAACTTACTAGATGTCTTTTGAACCTTCTACTCTTCTGTGAAGAAATCCTACAAAGGCAGTTTTATTGATTTAAATAATACACTACTGATTTATAGCATATCTAAACCAGAACTTCATATTAATTTGCCATCCCGGTTTCAGAGCCATGCCCATTAGATGCTCAGTTTCTCTCAGGGAAAAAAAACCCGAAGGCACTTAAGCTAACCGCATGAATATTATCTGAGCCAGAGAAAGAGAATGAGCTGTATTACAAACATGCCAAATGTAGTAATGGCTGCATCTAAGTGTATCTTTCTGTGTCCCCGGACAAATGTCTAAGAGAGAATATGATTAAGAGATTCCTATACGCTGCAAATGAGCTGCTGTAATCCTTCAGAGGCTGCATTTGTGGTTTGGAATCGCTGGCAGGAAAAAAATATGCCTTTGAATAATTCATATCAATTTTAAAGATTTCAATTAAATTTTTCTTACCGAGCAGACACAATCCTCCCAACATGATCACCGCCGGAGGCTGGTGACTTGATTAGAGTAAAACTTGCATCTTCTGAGAGCTCGGAGGACGGCGAGTCCGGAACATCTGGACTGCCCTCCTCAGTGGCTTCTTTCTTCTGATGCTGCTGGAGAAGATTTTAAAGCCAGCTGTGCTCCGTACAACTTTGGCTCAGTTGCAGAGCAGAACTACGCCCATAACTGTTCTGTGTTCAGATGGTTAGAGCCATATATCTCCCAGGGTGTTTAACATGACGGGTTTCATGGGAATTTGTTCTTTGAGTCTCTCCCTTGTGGAATCTCATTCGGAGTTTCAGGTTTGAACAACCCCCTCCCAAACGCATGTAAAACCTCAAGCAAAGCCAGTTTCATGCCAAACTTGGTCCGCTCAGGGTCGACTGAAAACCTGGTCCTGATCAAAGTTAATCTCTGCTCTGTCCCGGTTCTACCTAACTTAGGTACCTCTATGACCCTCATCACTGTAGCACCTTAACAACTCATAGTCTTGAATGTATTTATTCTTACAACACCGCAGTTGCACAGGAAAGTGATACAACCCCTTTGTTACAGATCGAAAGACCCAGCGGCTGAAGCCTATTTATTTAAAAATACATAAGCAAAGAATGCCCATTGTAATCAATGGGAGTTAGGTGCCTAAGTATTCTAAGTATCTGCCCTTTAAGTGACTTGCCCAAGGTTATACCAGAAGCCTTTGATGGAGAAGGGAATCGAACCTGGATTTCTCAAGACTGAGGCCTGTTCTGCTGCTCCTATGTCGTATGAGACCTTGAGGCAGATTAACATAATAGACCAGAAAGGAATTACTTCTTATCTCAACATCCCTCACCTTTTCTTTACACACGTGCCAGTTAATGACTGCTGTCCCTCCACCCTAGACTTTTTCTGAGTTGCCTAGTTTCTGCCACACCATTCATTCAGTGCCCATCAGCCCAAAGCAGCATGGGTGTCAATGCTGGTAGAGGAACTGTACATTACAACTGACCAGCCCACTTCTTCCAGGGGTCCCACTGAGGCAGTCTAAGTGACATGCTCAAGGTCATGTGAGATGTCAGTGCCAGAGCTGGGAAGGGAACCTGGGTGTCCCAGATTCCAGGCTGGTACCTTTACCCTTGGGCTATCCTCCCTTCCATTTTCAGAGAGGCTGAATGTGGTTTGCCTGCTATTTTTCAGTCCCTGTAACCCAGCTTGCAGAGCATGTTGCAAAGCTTTGATGTCAGTTTACATTCACATCATCTCTGCTGTGCAAATGATTTGAGGAAACGGCTCGCACCAGTGCCAAAGAAAGTCTGAGTCTCCCTGCTAGATCACCCTGGCGTTAGCTGGAGCTGTCACAGTGGGCAGGTGCTGGGAGGCTGAGCCAGCAAACATCTCAAACAACATTGGAGGGAGGAGTGTTTAGAAACAGGGAGAGAGCTTCCCAAGGAGTGGCTCTGATAGTTCATTTCTTTTGATAGGTTTACCTGAAGCATGAGCTGCCCAACCTCCTCTTCCAGCTCTTTCACCTTGGCTTCTCGTTCAGCCACCATCTGTTTGAGCTGCTCTATGAGACAGCTCTGTTTCTGAGTCTCGCTGTTCAACTGCTGTCCTAGGCTCTGCTGAGACTCCTTGTTCTTCTCATCCTGCTGGCTCAGGTGTTTTAAGATCTCATGCATTTCCTTCTGCTGGCTCTGGTGAAACAGTAATATCATGACAGACTGTTTTTGTATATCAAGAAGAATGTTAAACAAATGATGGTTCACACCTAAATTTGTGCCCAAAAGGATACATGTTTTGGGATGCCTAGCGCAATCCAAGGCCAGAAGCTGTGTGTTATGGCACTAACACCCCAAACCAAACTCATCCCTGGGATAAATTCTTTAAAGAGAACTTTATTACCCCGGGGATGAACTTAACCCACTGCGTTATAAGCTTGAAACCAGCTTGACTGTCAAGCATTTCTCACTGCTCGGTGGTATAACTTATAATGCAGGCAATCAGGCTGTGTGAGAGACGACAGCTCACAGGCTCTGATCCTGCTGGTTGAACTGAACGGTGTATGAAGTAGTTATACAGCACTGCAAGTATGAGTGGAGCTTATATGCAGATAGAATTGAAGTGCTTGGTATTTAGTAAGCGATACTAAGACTCTAGTTGGGACTACTCCTTAATGAGCATACTGCAAAAGGATGGGCCCTGAATGAACACTGTACAGGCAGTCCTCGACTTAGTGTTTTGAGTTACAACAAACGGCACTTATGACATTTATAAATTGACACCCTGTTTCGACTTTCTGACAACAGTTTCGACTTTACAACGCTTGATCCGATATGATGCCACACCAAACAAGTTCACTGTATTGCCCATCTCCCTGCAGAACATCTGTCCAAATGTCCTTGGACATTTTCTTTAAGAAAGCAGACAAGACGCCAGAAAAACCTGCAGCCAAGACTCCTGAGAGGACTCTAGCCAAGAACCCTTCAAAAAGTCCAACCAAGAGCCTTTCAAAAAGTCCAGCAAAGTGACGTAAAAGAAGTCCTTCCAAATCAATATGATTGCTCTTTACAATATAAATACACTAATGTAGAAATATTACTCATCCATAATTGATTAAGTACAAAATTCTAGGTTATTTTTTGGTGAAAATAGGGTATGGGGCCTTGGTTCAGGAACCAATCCCCCATTTATAACATTGTTTCCTATGGGAAAATCGGTTCATGTTTTGACTTAAGATGCAGTTTTCAGGAACCAATTGTGCTGTAAGTCCAAGGACTGCCTGTACTACTGCTAGCTTTATTTGGTAGGTGGATATACTTGAGGCAAAGAACCTCATGTTCTGTTCCCAGCTCAGTCACACGTGCGTTGTGTGAACCTGGTCAAAGTGGGAGCTGAAGTCAGTGGGAGCTAATGGTGATTCAGTACCTCTCTGAGTCAAAGCTTTATGAGCCTCAAGCTGGGTAACTTGAAAACAAAGTGCACAAAATTAGCTGGCACTTGTGAAAAACCCTGACCCAAATAATCTGCGAAGGTCACACAAGGAGTCAGTGGAATTGGGAACAGAATTTGGAGTCTTGATTCTCATCATCTTCTACCCTAGAGGACAAAACTGTGACCACTTTTTACAGCAATTCTCTAAGATGGGTGTCAATCTCACCCAACTCCCCAAGGCCAGATCCAGACTGTGGGGCTCTTTGCAGACAGGATCCAGATGTAGCAGTGGGGTGAGTGGTGGCAGTAGCCATGGCTGGGAGGGTAAACATGGCAGCAGCTCCTAGCCGCCTTCTCAACCAAGTGCGTCAGCCTTTGTGCTGATCTCAGAATCTCATCAGCATCAATATAAACTGCAAAAATCGTTGGCTCGCTCTTAAACCTGGATTTTTCAACCCCCTTGCCATCCTGAGGGTATGGTTTTGTCACCACACTGTAAGATGTCTTCAGTTTTAGAGAAAGCATAGATTCTGAAAGACCTAGGATCAGCTGCAATAGTCAGACTGTACCAGTAAAGCATCCACGAGCTCATCATCATGCTTCCCTTTCTCCAGCAGGGTCAGGATCTGCCCCTTCAGCGTTTTCACCTCATTGGACAGCACTTTGTTCCTGGCTTTCGATGCATCCAGTTTTATTTTCACGTCTTCATGATCCTTCTGAAGAGCGTTATGCTCCCCGGTGAGTTTCTGCAATTATGTAAATACGTAACATGAAACAAGGGAAGAGATTAATCATGTCCCATTCAACCTGCTCCTTGCTCTCAGGTGAATACAAGGAAGTACAAGCAGCTCTGCAGAATCCATAACTTTGCACTGCCTTGCCCGTCGAAGTGACTCACCCTCTGTAAATGTTATGCTACTGCACACCGCAGTCAGTGCTCACTTGGTGGCTGCACAAGAGGTCTGTGTGCTCAGGAATCCAGATGGTTCTAAGCAGATGAAGCACGTGCAATGAAGTAAATTATAATTTTGTGTCAAGACCAGAATCAGTGTGTTGTGGGTCTGCCATTGGCATCATAATTAAAGTGAATGTGCTTTTGATTAACAGTCTCCTTTGAGCAGTGCAGAGTATCAACACGTAAATAGATTATTCACTTCACACATGCAGGGGATGTATGGCTGGATTTCAAACCCAAGAAAAGTTGACAAAAATCTGGACGCACTTCAGTAAAGCTCTCTTGTGACTGGGGCTTGAGACAGGAGGACAACAGGGGAGTTACTCCAGAGTAGGGATGGTGTAAGAGCAGGATCTGGTCATGTGTGTGTGCGTGCCTGTGGGCAGCTGAACACTTGCTTTCTCCTTACTGCCATCAGTCAGAGGTATGCAAAGACCCAGTGCTCAGTTATAGCTATTGCAGGTTGGACATGTGGTAGGGAGGTGAGAAAGGAGGCACTTGATCTCCGTGCTGGGGGCCAGAAGTTTTGTATCTACTGGCTGCGGGGAAAGCACACCCTGCTAAACCCTGATAGTGCCTCTCCCTGCCATGGCTCTAGCCATTCCCTCGCACCCTCTTAGAGATACCACTAGCTTCCCAACCCCCAAACACCAGGAGCCTGACTGTATTTAGAGGCAGGTGGGTGAGACAGGTGGAAGGGCAGCAGCTACTACATAGTTGTATTACAAGCAGGTTGGTATCAGCTCACAGCTCTTTACCTCCAAGGCCTCTCTCTTTTCTTTTTCCAAGCTGCGAATCCGGAGGAGGTTTCTCTCCTGGGCTGACAATTTCCTGGGATCTGTAAGGGCCAACATTTCCTCGTCGATACTGTTCATCGATGCTCTACTTTTGCTCTGACCCAACTGATTCTCTAGCTCTCGAACCTAGGGGAAAGCACGCAGAGACGTTCAGAGCTAAAGCATGGCCGCTGCACGTGCATTGCTTCAGCTGAGGTCAGAGAGAGCCCACTACGCACAATCAAATGGAGGATCTGGCCTACGGCTTAGTGTCCTACCATTTATTTCTTGGTACTTGTACATGTCTTTTAGAACAAGAGGACTGATGGCATTTTACTTCTTCATCAGAAATAATAATTCCCTGACTGTGAGCACATGGACAAGTAGAATTTTACAATGCACCCTCTTGAAAAGTCATAATTGTGATAAACTAGGAGCTTCAGCAAATGCTCAGAGTTTTGCTTTCAGCTCTGAATACCATAAAGCTAAAGATAAGGACCTGTGATAGTAATTCACCTTGCCTTGTAGAACAAGAATCTGCTGGGCCCGTCCACGCCAGGTACCGGAGGTAGCCAAAAGATTTTGAACATTCACGTCTTCACCAACTTCACTTGCTAAAAGCTGTAAATAATGAATGAATATTAATGATATTTCCAGGCTACCAATAAGTGTGGAAAACCTGGTCCTTCTATCAGCCATGACAAAAGCCTGGGTTTATATGTGTATTTGTATCCTTTGGGTGTCTGCAGCTCCTATTCAACACATGTGGAGCAGATTCTTTGCGATGTATTTGGGCTAATATTAATGGTTTCACTGGTTACCAAAGCACCAACATTTTTTTATGAAATAGGCATATAAATATGATTCAATATTTAGAAATGCGTATATTCTTTTTTTCCTGTAGAAAGAAAGCATTCAAAAAATGCTGGAACTGCCCTTACAGTGAAATACAAATCTATACTGCTGGTAGGGGGTGTAAGTAAGCGTTCGTATTATATTGCATGGTCATGGCCTTTAGTGATCATTACTAACAAACAGCTTTCATCATACGTAATAATTATCTGATGTATACCAGCCATTAACCTAAACAAATCAGGGGCCCAATGGAAACGCCGGCAGCTCACAAATCTGTATAATACTAAGCCAGGGGCCAGTATTTGACTTACGCAATTCCAAGACAGCCACATGAAGAAGAGCTACAGTTATTATGAAATGCATTTCAATTATTTATTAAAAGGTCAGCAGAGATCTATTTTTAGGACAAAATTCTTGTCTCTGCTCTGCATTGCAGGTCTTTTATGCAAAGCAGCAAAGTCAAAGGCTGCCTCATGTGGGAAAGAGCACAGAAAAAGGCACTAGGTACCTGGAGTGAACCAAAGAATAAAGGCTATTCTAAAGTCCCTGCTAAGCAAAGCACTTACAATCCATTGACTTCAATGCAACTTAAGCCGGCTGAATAGGGATGTGCTGAGGCAAATGCTTCAAGTTAATCATCAATTTAACTATTTTTGCTGAATTAAGGTTTTTGTGACTTGCTAAGCCATAAGAAGTCAATACAAATACTAGAAAGACACACAAATGCAATGGCAGAACATTATTTTTTTAAATTTTCAGTGTCTTTACCATTGTAATCCAACCAGTGCTACTAATCCAGAAAAGCCCTTCAAAACCAAAAGAGAAAGCAGCATGCTAGTCTTCATTAACTAAGTACATCTCCCTTCCAGAAACTAATGGAAGGGAGATCACAATATTATGAGATATACAGTAGTACCTTTTGCATCATCTTCAATTCTTGTTTTGTGGCCTGGAGCTGGTTGCGATAGTCCATCATCTTCAAGTTGGCTGCAGTTAGTTTTTCTTGCACAGCTTTCAATTCTGGACTTCCAGGCTTTGAGAGAAGGAGAACTGATTTGATAAGGACAGAGTCCACTTCACAAAAAGGAAAATACGTGACAGTGAGGAAAGCTCAGGTGTTCAGTAATGGTTCAGAAATAGCTTCTCTCAAAACCCACAGGGTTTATAGGAGACTGAGAGACATTCCCTTTTCCAAAGGTGCAATCCCTCTGCATTCCTCCAGATCCCAATCAATTTACTCATGACTCCTGCATAGGAGTGGTTATATTCCCATTAGTAATACTAAAGGATGAGGTCTCACAACACTTGGTGAGAAACAGGTAATTATTATTACTTCCATTTTATAGATGGGGAAACTGAGGCTTAGGACTTTGTTACACCTGACACTGTGACCTGCACAAATGTTGATTGGTGTTAGCTTGGAGTTTGGAGCAGTCACACTGTTAGTCTAGAAACCTTCGTTGACTGTCCCCTACCTGCACAGCTGTGACTTACCACTAGAGGCCTGGTGAGCAGGGGCAGGACTAGGAGCTGGAGCTGGAGCTGTGAGTTGCCACTAGTGCAACTATGGGTGGCAGTGCAAGAGATATGGGGATACTGGAGGTCTTCAACTTACTGGGTTGAAGAGATCCAATTTACAGAGTTAAGAGATCCTGGGATACTGGGTGGCACATCTGTGAGCAGTAGCTACACCTTAATGGAACAGGAGCTGGATAGTACAGGTCAGAGACAATCCTGCCCTGGAGTGGCAAAACTTTGAGCTGCATAAGGAGTGCTTAAAACCACTTTAACATGTTAAAGTGTAGACAGTCCAGGGATTAAGAGCTCCGGGAGCAGCCCAAAATTACCCAGTAGCAAGGCCTTTCAGTGGTTTATGGATCCCACAAAGTTCAGTGGTTTATGGATCCCACAAAGTCAAACCATGACAGAGCCCAAAATATAGCCAGGAAGTCTGCACCTCTGCCTTGAGTTTTAAGCTCTAAGTCATCCTACTTCTCCAGTGACTATTCTACCATCCTTCCACTAGACTGTCTAGTTGAGTTGGCCTTTAGCTGGGTAGCATTACTGAAAGGAAACAGAACAAACCAGGGCTCTAGTCTGAGGGGGACATCTTAAAAACGAACAATTTGTGTTTCTTTTATGCACAAAACACTTGAAAAAAATCAGTCGCCCACTCTACAAGCCCACAGTTAACACGGGTAAATGTAGATCAGGCCTCATTTGACAAATATTGAAGCTGGTAAGTTTTAAGAGCTTGTTTTAATTCAAGACAGCAGCATGGGAGGGAGGGAAGATGAACCAATAAGGTCAGTAAACGCTTTCTTCTGATACTATAATCATCCCCCAAAACTCACTCACTGATCTTTGGATACAGAATGATTAGGACAGGTTATAAATCCAATGGCAAAGATAAAGGAGGAGAAAAGCTACGTAACACGAGAGCAAAATTCTAGTTAAACTTCTGAATTTTTCCAAATAAGGAAAACTCATACCAGGTTTCCTTCTGTCATCCTCAGAGCTGATTGCTTGATTTCTGCGTCACTGCCGCCAAGAGACTGGATTTTTCCCATGGCTGCCTGGAGCTGGAGAAGACCAAAGCAAACACCCATTAGAGAGTACATGCAGCGAACAAAGCATATTTCCACGGCAGATGATTCAGCTATATTTTAATGAGTAAACAGCAAGTGTAACACCACCCGCTTTGATGGGCTAAATGGATTTTATTTATTCCAACAAAAATGTCTTCATCTACTGCTAAGTTTTCAAATAAATATCCCTGCGGTTCTATCTTTGGTGAGACAGGCTGGGTTAGTTTACTGTGAAAAGAACAGCTAGCTTTTGGCTTGGAACCATGGGATTAGTTGGCAAACACAGGTACCTTGAGGGATGTTTCCAATGGGACAAAGTTCACAAAACAGGCATCTATGTTTTTGCCTCTAAACATAGATAACATCCAATGAAGGTCAGGATTTGACATACTTTTAAGCCGCCCATATTGGACCCCGCTTAGTAAAATGTAGATTTTCAAGTCCAATTCCCCCATTTCACAGAAAAATCTTGCAGTGTATGCTGAAAGATGTGCTAGCTCAATGACTCCAAAGGCATTTTAAGAAGAAAACCTGCAGCTTCACCCCCTGGCTGAGGCTCTGGAATCATTCTGAAATTCCTCTTCTGTAGCTTGGATATTGCTAAAGGGCTTAAGTTCTGTTGTCAGTCTTTGAAAGCAGGTGATAGTTGGCACCGTTCACTAATTATTCCTGCTTGCTGGAGTGCAGAACTCCTCTCATATAATCTAATTCCCTCCTGCCTACAGAGGGGAGAGCTATGGACAACAAATTGCAAGAGGAAACACAATCAGAGTGCAAAATGAAGGGGCGAAATGGAAATTGTTATGATCCCACCAGGATCATCTTATTATCTTCATTATCTGCTTGATGAATTGAGACCTGTGGCAAACCTTTTAGAAAGGGTGATGTAGACAGTAGGATGGCCTGCAGAACTGAGCATTAGATAGGAGATGAGAATTCCAGGTCTACCACTAAACTGCTGTTGGGTTCAGGTAAATCACTCACCTCTCTGTGCTTTCACTTCCCTCCCACCCTTTGCTTGGCCCTCCTATTTACACTGAAAGCTGTTATGCGCGTAGACTGCATCCAACTGTGCACACGAACAGAATACAGTATAGTGGGGCCCTAATCCCTGACTGGCACTTCTGTGATGATGGGATCCAGACTGCCAGATAACTGAGGAAAGATCATTACAACACTGCTGTTGTTATCGCCAGGGACAAGCAGCTGCATTCTCAGATACACATTTGTATTTCTGATGATTTCATTTCTACCCAGGAAAACTTTTACAATCTTTTCTCCAATGCTGGATGAAGGGTGTTTGTGCCCGAAAGCTTGCAATTAAGGAATTTTTTTTTTTTTGCAAAAATCTTGTGGGTCTAATAAAAGATATCATCTCTACTACGAGTCCTGATTGCCTTTTCTGATGATTGGTATTTCACAAATCGTTGGCTCGTTATATTTATTCCCACCTTTCTGCCATTGTTTCTTCCAGTGTGCATGGACACTGTGAAGAGAGCGAGTCCATCTATCCCACCAAGGGCAGAGATGGAAAGCACTCACAGTAAGTCCTGGTGCTGTAACAAGCTGGGAGTAGCCACATGACTCAAACATACAGTTTCTCCAAGAGGAAGCTACCCTCAAAAGGCTACTGGTGCGATTTCACAGTTTTGCTATGACAATAAAAAGATGCCTCACTTCTCTTTCCAGCTCTTTGACTCTGTTATTCAGCTGTTTCACTTTGGTTTTTTCACTTTCGGTCTCAGCGGTTAGCTCACGATTCTTTTTGGACAGTTCAACTATTTTAGTAGCTGCGATATCCCCTGCTAAACCAGACGTTCCTGAGAAAACAAAAAGGTAGAAAATGGAGGAACAGCTTAGGTGCAAGAATCAGATTGCTTGATGCTTTTTTTCTCTGCCTATGGGAAGCTGTATTTTTATGGCTTAGCTTCCCTTTCTCAGATCTGTGCTGAGAACAACTGTCTGGAGAGTGTGTAGCTAGAGGGAGAGAGTTGTTAATGATGCCATTTGGGTCATTCAGCTCTTTGAGTTAGCTTACAACCACTGGTGTTGGAAGCATTGCAGTGCTGGGTCCATCAGTGTACAGCACAAACAGTGGCCCTTGCAAGTTTATGGTCAGGAAAGCCAGCAAATTACCCCCCTAATTTCAGCAATTGCTGGCATGGATCCAGCTACCCAAGTAGTAGCAATGGTGTGAGCACAAATGTGAGCAAGGCACCGGTGTTTTGACCTTCACACTATGAAAGTTGGTTCCCAAGTATATATACATGACCTGGTAAAAATGCCAAAGCACTGCCTGTGCTGGCAGGTTGGCACTGGAGCAGCTGCTGAACCACAGATCTTAGCTTTGCAAGATGCCTTCGCTCTTCTAATGAGATGGATATATTGCTGAGTCTGGTGTCCTGGATAATATCTAACTGGAAAATTATACCATGCCCACTTAAACTTTCACTGCACTTTTAAAAGGAATCTTAATAGCCACTGAATGCTACTTTGCCTTCTTAAATAGATGTTTCAATCACTTCCCTGCCACAAGTGTCTTCATTAATGTGCTGGATAATGTAACCATTGTGCCAGGCTTATACACCATTTGGGCTTTGTCATGTCACCTGGGTGAAGAAAAGGTCCTAACCCATGACAATTTCTCTGGGGGTGCAGTGACAAACCTTAGGAATAAATCTGTATATGGTATGTAGGGATTTAAACTAAGTGCTGCTATTACTGGTCTACCCTTTTGTTTTAATGCTGTATGTTTCTTGGAAGAGCTTTTTACCAGGATATGTGAGAATTTGGATGAAGTGCCAAATATCCACGCAATACTACATCTCTTATGCAACCACTGGGGACAGCACAGCCCTATTCACTTCAAAGGGCCATGCAGACTGTGGGCCGGGGCAGATTTCTGCCCCATTACCACACAAACATTTTTGCAGAAAAAGTAATGGATGATAAAGAAAATATCTGCACCACTCTTTTTTCTTGCAGAGGATGCAGTGTTTCCTTTCTCCTCTGGGAGCCAGTACTTCTTTCCATGATAAATCATGGTAGTGGTAATTATTATAATCAATACTAATCAGAAACAGCACTTGCATGTGAGAGTCTCAGGCTGCAATGCTTACATTAATTAAAGCTTGGGGTTTTCCTGAGAAACAGGGGAGGATCATCATCTCAGGATTACAGAGAGGGAAAACTGAAGCAAATGGTGACTTGCACAAAGCTGCCCTGGGAGGCAGAAACAGAAATTGTGATTCCCGCCCCCTAACATCCTAGCTTTAACCCCTATACCACACTGTCCCTCTCAGATGTCTGATGGAAATAATAAACACAGAGCTATAATTTATGCATCATTCAGTTTTGCTTACTACTGTTTCTAACCTTTCCCTCCCTTCCCCAGAGTCACTGGTGCACTGGGCAACACTGACATCTCGTGGAAGAAGTTTGGCTAAGCTGTCAAACACAGGAGTCCTTACCATGGCACAAGTACCATTTAGAAACTTGTATATAGTTTCAAACCTCAGCCTGTCCAGTCCCTGGAGTGATGAGGAACACAACAGAAAATAATGGAAAAGCAAATTTAAGAGGCTGTGGCCTCATCAGTTTAAATGAATCAATTGAATAGGATGCTTAAATAACAAAGCCAAGGGAACATGAGAGGGGACAGCTCTAGACAGCCTCAGAAACTGCAGGATTTTTATAAATGGCTTTGTTTACTAGGCCTGCAACGCTCATTCTCTCCTCAGCATCAGGGAATTATGACAGTCATAATGCTACAGGACATGATTTTCAGAAGGACTGAGTGCCCCACACTCAAAAAACGTCACGGGAGATTCAGAGGCTCAGCGCCTCTGAAAATCAGGCCTGCAGGGATGCTTTCAAGCTTTGTAGTGTAGTTGAAAGAGGCAGAAGCTGTAGCAAGCAGCA